GGCCTGGGCGCCATCGCCTCGGGAACGGGCAGGGGGGAGGCGAAACCCACCTCTGGAAACGAGAGCGCCCGAGCGGCGTTTGTAGCTGCGCTTGCTGGCTTTTGGGGGGCCTCGATGCCCCCATCAGCGAAGCGGGGGGGAGCCTGGCCTTGGGCTGGGCGTGCTGAGGGTTCGTCGGCGTTGCCGCGCTCCGGAACACTCAGGTAAAGCTGAATCAGCCCTTAGACCAAGCACTCAGCTCGGTGGGTGCTTCTGTGTCCTAATGAAAGTTGTTTCGGCTTCTGATTTTCCCCGTTCAGTCCTGTAAATTTAGCAAAGCCTCTTGCTGTGCTGCATGCTCACCCCATTTTGCCTTACAGGTGACCAAAGCGGTCAGAGCCGGAGAAGTAGACGCAAAGACCCGTCGCCAAATCTTTGACGCAATTGGATTCACGTTTCCGAATCGCCTGCTCACCTCCAGGCAGCCCCCAGCAGGCTGCCCCGAGCACACCTTCCGGGCACTGGGCCTTACTCTCTTGGCGTGTTTCTGCACCGATCCAGAGTTAGCTGGTCACTCCCAGGTCCTGAACAAAATCCCAACCTTCAACGAGATCCTGGTTTCCCCCTGCAATCCAGACAGCACGTCCATGATCGATGATGCATACCAGTGTCTGAGTGCTGTCATGGCCACTACCAGGGGCCCCAGAATGCTGGTGACCAAAGGGACGGTGTCTGCCCTGTGCCAGGCCTACGTGAATTGCAGTTACGGCTCTGACCGTGCCTTGACGCTGCTCTTGGGGCTTTTGGCCATAGCAGAGGAGAACTGCTGGCAGAGAGACGCTTCACACCTCCTGGCCGTGCTGAGCAAGCTCTCTGATGAGTTTCTCAAGACTGAAGACATGACCAAATTTGAGCTGTGTGAGGTTCTGCCTCGCTTTGTCCCCCTGTCACCACCGCTCACACAGGACTCGCAGGGCTCTGAGTGCCTCCATAGACTTTACAAAGGGCTGGCTAACATCTTGGGCAGCAAACTCAGCCAGTCGCAGCGGGACCCTGCTCTGAAGCTTGCTGCCTGCCTCGTGCAGGCCTGTGGGTCAGAGTGGATCCCAGCAGGGAGTGCGGGAAGCAAGTTCCTGGCCTTGCTGGTAAACTTAGCTTGTGTGGAGGTCCGCCTGACCCTGGAGGAGCCAGGTCCCTTGGAGGTGGAGGGGAAGAAAGAAGTGATAACAGCCTGCTACATCCTTATTGAGATGGGGATCCAGGAGTGCCTGAGAGAAGAGAAACCACTGCTAGAAGAGGTGCAGAAAATGCAGCTCATGCGGATCATGGAGGAGGCATTTGGAGCTGTCATATTCTACCTGAAACAGGTAATGAAGGGCTTTCAAGCAAAGAGCGTGGTTTTGTGGGTTTCCTTGGGAGGCTTTGGCAGCCGCTCACTGAAAGGCTTAATGGGTGCTCAGCAGCTCGTGGCCGTATCTGTGTAGAGCAAAATGTGCATCTTGGCCCTCTGGGGTTTTCATACCTGCGGTAGCTCAATAGGACAGTCGCCCTAACGTGCTATTTTCTGTCTGTCTTCTTCATGCAGGTTAAACAGGAGGAGCTGCAAGATCCTTTCGTGTTTGCTTCTGTTCGAATCCTTGGAGCCTGGATGGCAGAAGAGACATCCTCCCTCAAGCAGGAAATCTGTGAGCTCCTGCCTTTCCTTGTTCATTATGCCAAGAAGCTTTTCAAAGGGGGCAGCCCAGCAGCGAGTCTTCCCCAGCCGGAGCTGGTCAGCACCGAGGGCTCTGGCTTACCCCAGGATGCTCTGAGGTGCGTATTTTAAGCACAGAGTTGATGCATTTTAGCACAGACCCGCTCAAATCTTTCTCTATTTTCCCTTCTCCTTGCAGTGCCAACTTCATGGCTCTTTCTTCCCCCCCCTCAGCTGGATGTAAATGCAGGGCTTAGACCCATTCTACCTCACGTTCCAAATTTCTTTCTCCTTCCAGATTTCTGCTACCTGGCTTTTGCCATTTAACAGCAGAGGACAGGCCCCGGGACATCCTCATCTCAGAAGGGGCACCAGCACTGCTGTTTGAGTACTTCCTGCATCAGTGGGAGGTGCTGACCTCCGAGCCCACGTCCCTCACTCCGCTGACAAGCGCTGAAATGAGTCTACAGACCACGTGTGGGATTTTCCTTAACCTGGTTGTGACTGCACCAGACCTCATCAGGTAGTGGAGCCACAGGAGCTTGCTTTAACGTGGTCAGTGGGAAGAAAGAGGGTGCATTGTGAAATGAGCTTGCAGGATCTTTTAAGGCACTACGCTGAAAAAGGGATGTCCCTTTTTCAACACCAGTTACATCACTCTCTTGGTGCTGCATTTAACCTTGACATTTTCAGGTGCTTCTGGCTCTGCTCAGGAAACGTGTCTCAGAGTTTGCTTTCTCTCTAGGCGAGACAAAACCTTTTCCTCCTTGATGGACGTGTTGCTGAAGTCTCTTCCGCTTCTGCTGCCCCAGAAAGATCACCTGGTTCTAGCGGCCAACGTCGCCACTCTGGGCCTGATGATGGCCAGGATCCTTGCAAGTTCAGCGGGTGAGAAGAGTTCCCGTTGGCAAAGCTATGCGTTGCTCTGCACGGGCAGAGACCGGAGTCTGGGTGGTTGGGCTGGAGAAAGCAAATAACAAGGGAAATGGGTCCAGTTTCTGTCATTAGAAAAGTGACAAAACCAAAACCCTGGAGGAGCAAGGAATATGCAGAAAATTCAGCAGGCCGGTGTGCTGGGATTAGGAGGTTTCTAGGGCAGGAGGATGGTATTCTGCTCTCCCCAAAAGCCCTGCTGCAGACAGACCCACCGAAGGGTCCCTCCTTTGGCCGAGCGAGCTCTGTATCGAGTCATTTGTTTCCTTTTTCTTCCAGTTCTTCAGGGGACGCCGTCTGCCGAGGAGTTTTTCAGAGCCGCCGTTCGCTTCCTCTCGCAGGCCCACACCGCCCAAGCAGACCCCGGTAGCGACGGCTCAGCCGCCGCCGTGTCGCCTGCCTACGCGAGTGCCTGGGCTGATGTCGGTGAGCTCTGGTTTTTTTTTTTGCCAGCGTCGTCCCCCTCTCCCCCTGCCTGCCGCAAGCCGTCCTCCAGGCGCGGTGGCTGGAAGCCCTCTCGGACTTGCTGGCCCACGTCGCTCCAGCCTCGGTGGATTTTGAGCTCATCACCGCTTTCCAGGGCGTGCTGGTAGAGCTGGCCAGAGCCAGCAAGCCGTGCAGGGACGTGATTCTGTCACACCACGGCAGGGAGTGGGCCAACCTTTACGGTATGGCAGCTTTGGAACAGTGTCTGTCTGAGCAATGAAGAGCCAGCAGCGCCCTGGTGGGGGAAATGAAGCCAGACACCTGCACAAGATCCCTTCAACATTTCTCATGCACCCTTTGGTGCCAGGCGGGGACAAAAAACATCTCGGTGACCAAACTTTATAAAACTGGAGTGATGCAGCAGAGCTCAGTGGGATTTGCACTGTCCCCAGCCTGACACACAGAGCTGTTGCTGCCTCAGAACGTTTCAACGTGCACCTCCTTGACCTTCTGTCAGTATTTCTTTTTACAGCCTCTTTTATTATTAAAGATGCTTTCTGTTGCTTTGTTTTTCAAACTCTGGCAGCGTTGGGATTTATTTCTGCCCAGGGCCCTGAGAGGTTGCCTGCTTCTCCCATGAACATGCTCTCCCAATTTTGTCACAGTAAGCCCTTTGGGATGTCACCTTATTTTATATCAGAGGCCTCACATGTTGATAAGGTAACCTGGCACTGCACGTGGCAGCCTGCAAAAGGCAGGAACAGGAGAAGCTTTAAAATTTACCGAGAGAGCAAGAATAACTCTGTAACTTGGCACAGGCCTGTCCCCTTCTAGTGTGAAGATGCACAAAGGCCCTTTTGCCATGCTGTGGGACAACCCCCCTGCTCATATCCATGACTGGTACCGTCATCCCAAATTCATGCCCGGAAAACCTTCACAGCACCTCTTGCTGTTGCCTGTTTTGCCCTGTAAAACACCCGCACGAGGCGCAGCCGTGGGGATGTGTGTTTGCTCAAGCTGCCTCTCACCGCACGGGTGGGGTGTACGAGGGGAGTTTTCCACTCTTGCAAGGCGAGAGGTTCAGCCTGCGAAGGCCTGGGCTCCCTTTAGAGGCTTCGGGTACAGATGGTGAAAGCAGAAAAGAGTGAACTGCACCTCGCTGACTCCCTGCAGACCGAGGAGTTGTTTGCTTCACAGAAGAGAAAGGCCACATGTACAATGGGAGTAAACCGCTTGTACCTCTGGCTGTGCAGCCGGGGCTGCCGACTCCCAGCTACCCTGTGAGCCCGAGCGTAAAATCCCCCAGAAAGAGCAGCCGGGGCAGGTCGGAGCTTGGCTGGTGGAGGACGGCTCCGGCCGGAGCAGAGCTCCCGCTCGGGCTGCAGCCGGGGCCGGGAAGGCTTTTCCACCAGGTGTCAGTCGAGGAGCTCTTTGGGAGCAGCAGCCTCGCCGGGGACCGGCTCTCTTGCCAGACCACGGCACTGATCCTGCCTGCCCTCGGAACTCGTGCTGGGGGAGAGCTGTGGAATCGTCTGATTGAGACAAAAATCAAGCGAGGGGCTGTCTCAAAAGGAGGGCTGAGTCTGGGTGTATTCCTGCTTTGTGTCGTGTTTTTAGCTAGCTGCTTTATGAAAGCGAATGCCTTACACAGCTGAAGAGGAGGCGCCTGCTGTCGCTCAAAAAAGTGTGTTTCTGATCTTTCCAGCTCAGCCCTGAAAAGTTAATGCAAGTTGGAACAAAGGTACTTGCTACCAGAAGAAAGTGATGCAAGCCAAACAAGCAAATGAGCCTCCTGGCCTTGGAAAAGAGCAGAACTCTGCCTGAGCGTGGGCTGGGAGAGTCTCCCCATCCTGCCAAGAACACCTCATCTCTGCACCGCCGGGAAACATCAGCATGTCGGGGGAGCCAGAAACACATTTTGGATTGTCGGAAAAAACATCCAAACCCCCAAGTGCTTTACTTTCGACTGTTCCCAGTCGCATATGCTGTTCTGCCTCTGGTCAGAGGGTGTGGTCTTCCCATTAATGGAGAGCTATCAATAGTGCTGATGAGAGATACGCGCCTGTATCAGCAGGAGGGTACTCTCCCCTCTCTCCCAGCGCTGTGCTGGGCTCGCTGTGGCCATCGTTCATCCCTGTGGGCAGTGGAAGGAGCTTCCACAACACCTGACCAGAGATCCAGGCTGGGCCTGCAGGACTCCATCCAAGACCAGAGGAGTCCTAGACCCGGAGGCCCTTGGCTGCTAGTCTTTAATTCCCAGGCAGGCTACCTGGGAGCAAACCAAGCACCCAGGGAAGTCCTCCAGTTTATCCTTTACCATGTCCTAGGGCAGTGGGGATTGGCCACCAGCAAGTGCCTGGAGAGGAGCGCCTGACTCTCATTCTCACACTTTTCAGTGGAAAGTCCCGTCAGATGTGAGAAGGACCATCCCTGCCTTGCCAGAGCTGGACCCTCCCAGAGACCCTGATGGCTCATCATGTACTTATTTCTTTGCATAACAGTTATAACATTACCAGGCTGAACGTCAGAGGAGATGCCAGGGCTCCTTGAACAATATCACTGCTCTCTTGTCCCAGGACACTACTTTCCAAGAGTGTTCTCAGACAGAGCACCCCTAAAAGGCTGGTTCCCCTCCCTGAGACCCCTGGGCTCTGACAACAGGGAGCACAGCACGTTCAGGAGGGGAGAGCACAGGAGCTAGTGGAGGCCTCCTGCCATGTAGGCATCTCCGTTGGCTCTGCTTGGGCCGGTCTGCAGGCCCTGGCGTGCCCACGGCAGCTCAGCCCAGCGTGAGGGAGAGGGTGCCCCAGCAGCCTGGCCAAGGCTTCAAAAGCTGCAGGGTGACTCCTTGGCCACCCTGAGCTTTGTAAGCCCAGCCACAGGTTCTGCCACTGGCAGCTGGCATCCACGGGCATCAATCCTCTAACGCCAGAAAGGTGGATGACAGCGTCACCTAACATCCCCTGTCTGCTGTGGTGCTCTGAGATCCCAGCACAGAGTAGGTTGCAGCCAGCAACACCCAGGGCAAACCATGCTTTATCTCCCAGTGCATTTTCAACACCAGGGCGAGCTCTCCAGGAACAAGACAATCGTTCACCGTGGCTTGGACGAGATGGATAAGGCCCCAGAGGAGCAGATGCACATTCTATTTCGCTTTGACAGCTTAAATGTCATACTGCCATTGCAAACCCGACCATGGCATACATTATCTTACAGTTAAACACTGTATATCACCCCAAAAACACTGGCAATAAAATTAAATATTTCATAAGGTTGTTATTTGGCTGCTGTGCTGCAGCAGGAACCAAGCGCAGCCCTCTCCCACAGACCTTGTGCCGTGAGATGTAGCAGGGGTGGTAAGGGTGGGAGGCCCGAGCAGCGAGAAGGTCTGCCCCATTCCCTGCCTAGCCCTCAACAGGGCCCCCGTCCTTCTCCCCAAAGCCCTGCCTGGCTCTCCAGCCTCATAGTGAGGAGCTTCCTTCCCCACCTGGATTCCCAGGGAGGGGATGTGGGACGTGACAGGAGCCGCCTGCATTTCTCTGAGATGTCAGTGGGAGCTGGGCTTCTGGGGAAGAACCAGTTTGTCTTTGGCTTGGGCAGAGACCTGTGCTCACATACTTTTGTATCCATGCCCCTATCGTCCTGCTCAGCAGGTATTTTTGCTGCTGACCCCTGAAAGCAGAGGTTGGTGCCTCAAGCCCCTTGCACGCTCCTGGAAGAGCCGACACATGCATTGATCTCCCTGGGATGGAGCACTGGGACCTTTGTTACAAAACCAGTTTTTCAGAGATTTCTGGCTTGGGTGCAAAAGCAACAAGTGGTCCCTGGGGTGGAGATGTGGCCCAGACCGACAGCGAACGCTCCCCGTAGCTGCGGGGCAAGGGGGCAGCTCTCGCGTTGAGGACCTCGACATGATCACGCCGTTGCGGTAGCAAACATGGAGGATGTTTGGCAGAGCAAAACACAAGCACAGCTGGATGTGCACGTGGTCCTTAAACTGGGAGGTAAAGAGCAGGTAGTGGAGAGCTGCGTTCGAGCACCCTGTGTTCAGATGACCCCCAGGAATTGCTCTGACATTGCTGAACCAGTAACAGGAGCAGGCAGCTGCTGGGATGTCCTGTGTGCAGCACCCGGTGTGACAGTCCTTGACCCTGCCTGGGACCTCGGGACAGCAGGTTAAAGTGAATAGTTGTTCATCATCACCACTGGTGGCTTAACGGCTGCCTCCTGCCCATGGCAGACCCGTAGGTTTAGTCTGCCATCACCAGGCAGGTGAAAATGCTCTTAGCAAAGCTGTACAGAGGGGACAGGGCAGCGAGGGGCTCGGAGGGGCATCTTGCAAGGACTGTGTGGTTGCTTGTAGGGCTCTGAGCGTGCTGCTGGGCAGGACCCGAGGGCTGGGAAGGTGCTGCTTGTGCTCCCAACGGAGAGGGTGCCAGGGCAGAGGAGCTGCTGGCGGCTGGTCACAGCCCGCAGGAGAGGAACGGTCAGAGCTTGCCTTTGGCACAGACTTTTTTTACAGCCCCCAGCAGCAGCCACAGCCACTCGCTTTGGTCTGTTGCAAGGTCCCTTGTCCCCTTCCTGGGCACCGCTGGTGTGTGTCCCAGGCTCGGGCTGCCCCAGCCCCCTGTCCCAACCCACCATATTGCCACTGCCAAGGCGTGTTTGGTGGCAGCGGGGCAGCTTTGCCTTTTGTTTTTCCTTCCCTTTGTCTGTCAGCATTGCAGGGTTCCTCTGTTCTGTCTTATTTTTGGGTGGAAACATGACCTCCCTCTGAGCTGCTGCCGGGGAGCATCCTCCTGCTCGCCCCACGGTCCCACGTGCAGGCCGGCTTGTGGCCCTTCCTGCTCGGATTTTGCACAGTTTTGCCTCTTTCAGATGAATAAAGACTCGGCATTATACGGACTAGAAGACCAAGGGATGTTAAGAATGAACTGGAACATAACTGCAAAATACAGCATGTCCAATCCAATTTTTCCTAGCAAATGAAACGGATCTGGTGGAAAATAAATACAGAACTTTCAGCAACAGCACTCTTGAAGAGCATTTGAGGGGGATGAAGAGATTTGAATAGATCAGCCCTTTACACCTCTGCACACCCCTCCTCCCTCCCTTAAATGCCATCTTTAATAGAAATAAATTAGAATAAGTGATCAGCCCTTGCCTCCTAAAGACAGGTGGCAGGGTAATATTAAAAGAAATGAATAAAAATTCATTTAATGAGCATTGTTAATTAAACCTGGAAATCAAAGAGGTCTGAGTTGTGGGAATTCAGAGGGAAAATGAAAATGAAGGGAGCCGTAGCTCGGGGCAGGA